AGCACTGTCCTAATGGATATGGGCAAGCTGTCTGATGGTAGGAACTAAACTCAGCCTGAGTTTCTAGAATTGGACTTGAGGAAGAAAATCATCTTGATAATCCAGCTAGGCCTAAGAAGGGAATTTAGGAGCTAAAATTGTGCAAAGATCACAATTTCATAGCCCTGTCAAGCACAGGCTTGTCCTGCCTGTACTTGAAAACTCCTGAGATAAAACATCTCATAACTCCTCCCCTCAARCAGCATCCTAGAGGAAAGAACCTGGAGACAGGCCCACTTCCTACCAACTTTACTATTTACTGGCTATGCTGCCTTTGGCGTAGCCTAACAGAAGTTAATAATTTTAACTAATTCATACATTGTGTTAAATAAGATATGTGTAATAGTATTATATGTGGTATATAGTATGTGCTCACTAAAATATTATCATTATCTTCTATAACTTTTTTAATCCTAGTTCTCTTAAGTGCACAGAATCATGTTAGCCCTTCACATGTTTAATATAATTCTTTCTTTCAACCAAGATTTATTGAGTCATGTGTTCCAGGAATTTGCCCTTGTGCAGCTTACAGTCAAGTAAAAGAAGCATGTGTTTTTTTAAAAAAAATACACAAACACATGTAAAATCACACCTATGATAAATGCTACAAAGAAGGGATTCATGTGCTCTGAGAGTGTCATTAGGGAATTTGACCTGGTTGGGTAAGATTGCTGAAGGGCAAGCAGGAGTTAACAAGGCAGACTATAGGGGACATTGTTCCAGGTGGGGGGACAACATGCTACAAAGCCCATGTGGCCAGAAGGACTGGCCTTTGGGGAAAACTAAAAACTCAGTGGTACATGGGGAGGGACAGAAGAGTGCTGGGGAGGAGTACCGGGACCAATCTTAGCCAGGAAGATTTTGTTCTTTAAACCTTGATGGAGGGCTGCGGGTGTAGCTCAATGGTAGAATATTTGTCTAGCATCTGCAAGGCCTTGGATTTGATCCCCAGCACCACAAAATAATAATAATAATAATAATTTTAAAAATAAGGATGATAGAATAGACATTATGATTGCTGTATGTATATAGGTGACTCTATGACCAGTGTGATTCTGCAATTGGTACAATCAGAAAAATGAGAAATTATACCCCAATTGATTCAAATGTGTGAACTGCCAAGATCATTTTAAAATTTTTTAAAATAAGGATGAATAAGAAACCACTAAAAGGTTTGATAAAGGAGTAAAATCAGATTATGCGTTGATGATGATGATGATGATGATGATGATGATGATTCTGCTGGGGACCGAACCCAGAGGCACTTAACCACAGTGTCATATCCCCAACCCTTTTTTTAAATTTGAAACATGATCTCACTAATTTGCTTAGGGACTTGCTAAATTGCTGAGGCTGGTCTCAAAGTTGTGATCCTCCTGCATCTGAGATCACAGGCATGYACCACCACACCCTCTAGATTATGTGTTTTTAAAGATCACAGTGTTTGCAGGGCCAAAAACAAACCAGAGAGTGCTCTCCAAAAGTGAGATAACCACTTTGGGTACAATTACAGTGGTCCAGGGAAGATGGAGGAAGTATCAGGAGGGCAATCAAGATGAAAATGACAAGTTCCAAGAAGACTGGGATGGCAGAACCAAATGAGCTTTGTACTGGATTGGCCATGGCAGGTAAGGGTAAGGAAGGAGGGTTGTCAAGGATGATACCTTGTGCAGCTGAGTGGATGTGGCTGCCACTCACTGAGTCAGGATACTGTGGAGGAGGAGGTTTGAACATGTTAAGACTGAAGTTCACGTGAACTTCAGGTTGCATTATAGGTCTAGAGCTTGAGAGTCTGGGCTTGGAGATTTGGGCATTATCAGTTTACTACTTGGCCTCTATTGCTTATTATTCTGGGTTCTGGCTTCTAAATTCTTAACCTGCCAGTGCCCATCTTAAATTACAGTGCACAGTGGTCTGACCTGTGTAGGTTTTTGCAGGATTATTAGATTTGTGACCAGAACCCTGAGTCTATTAATTCAGTCTCAGAGTCTATTAATTCAGTCTATTAATTCAGTCTTATTGTTATCCTCATTAACCATTTGGCTCATTTTGTGAATATCAAGGGGCCTTATTTCACATGAACTGCTATCTAGACAGGTCTGCCTCATCCAATATCTGGAACTGATCGCTTATTTTTTAACCAAATTCAGACTCCTCATTAAATGCTTTCTTAGGACTTGTGGCTGATCTCATCCTTCTGGGCCTCAGATCATTTAGGCTTATGGTTCTGGCTTCCAACTAGACAGCTCACACTCAATCATTTGCACACTTGGTCAGCCTGATCCAGGGGTCTCACCTTCCCCAGACCCTCAGGGGAAGGGAGGGTCCTAGAATTTGAGCAAGAAAAAGAAATTAGACTTTTTTATTTTTATTAACCTCAACCTCTAACTAAAAATTAGCATTTCCTTCAATTATAAATGCAAGCAAAACCCCCACTAGTATCAGTCATACCTGGGACTTGTCACTAATAGAAATATATTTTTATATCCTACTACAGTGGTTATAAAATTCCCAAAATAGTTTGTTCATTACTAAGAGAAGCATATTTGTTACTATCATAATTTTTTAACATTTTGGCAAAGTAAGTCAGTTGGTAATGCTTCAATCTTATGATCCATATTTTATGAATTTTGAAACAATCCTGGAGCTAGGAGCGGTACTGCATGTCTGTAATCCCAGTGACTCAGGAGCCTGAGGCAGGAGGATTGCAAGTTTGAGTCCAGCCTCCACAATTTAGCAAGTCCCTAAGCAATTTAGCAAGGCCCTGTCTCCAAATGTAAAAAAAAAAAAAAAATTTAAAAGGGCTGGGGATGTGGATCAGTGGTTAAGCACTTGTGGATTCGATCCCCAGTACCAAAAAAAAACAAAAAAAAACAAAAAAAAAAACCCTATACACATAATCCTGTAGGGTGCAGTGACATACACCTCTAATTCTAGCTACTCCTGAAGCTGAACTAGGATGATCACAAATTCAAGGCCAGCATAGGCAACTTAATGAGACCCTATCTCAAAATAAAAAGGGCTGGAAATATAACTCAGTGGTAGAGCACTTATCTAGCATGCACAAGCCCTGGGTTCAATCTCCAGTAGAAGGGAGGAAAAAAACAAACATAATTCTGAGGAAGGGTCAAGAGACACCTCCAGACTGCCAACAGGGTTCTTGGCACAAAATATGGCTCAGAATCCCTGGCCTGAGTGAGCTCCCCCAAGACCTCCTGCAGAGCACCCCTCCTGAGTAGACAAGGTTCCTGAGTTCACATATTCATGCAGTCTCATGAGGTCCCACTGGCAAGGGCCTGGATTATGTGGAAACAGGCCACTGTGCTGGACAAAGGTAGGTGGTAGGAAATAGACCAGGGAGAAAGAAGAAAGGAAGACAGGAAATAGGTTGGTAAGAGGCAGATTTTAGCCCAAGAAACTCACTCAGAGCTGTGGAAAATTCAACCTTTATTATTACCTGCCTAATGCAGGGGATTAAAGTTGTCTCAAGCTAGATCCATATATTAGTGTAAAAATCTGTGTCTCTCCCCCCAAAAATGTACAAACCCCAAGTGATTATAGAAAAACCATTTTGGCAGCTAACAGAGATGTCCAACCCCAAGGCCAAAGGCCTTCACTCCCTCTTTTCCCCTAATCCCAGTTTACTCCACAGAAATGTACAGGTTTAGAGAAGTTCTAGCTACACACAGGTGGCAGGTGGGTAGTAGGGAATCCCCAGGTCCAGTGTATTGGGGATGGAGGAGGAAGCCAAAGCTGAGAACAGTTCCAGGGTAGGCTCAGGGAACAGCTTTCTTCCCTTCTTGTCCTTTCTACCCCCTAAATTCTCAGCCAGTGGGGTCCAGTGTGTGACAGGAAGAGAGAGGCTGGGGACACAGCCAACTCCCCAGGAACCAGTGTTATCCAGTGGGACCCAGGTGTTCAACAGGCCATGTCCAGTGTCTGCCCTGCATTTGTCCCCACCCTTCCCCAAAGGATGGTGAAAGAAGTCAGAGAGGATCCCATCCATAGGGCCAGCTGGGTGGGTGGCAGGAGCTTCTAAGGAGGAGATGGAAGGAGAAACAGGACGTGGACATGAGCATATGTCCACTGAAAATGGAGTTATCAGCTCCCTGGGCAGGCCCAGCCCACCTGTTGTCACACTGCCTCTCTTGGTGCTGGGCAGCTGGAAGAGGGTGAAATGGGGATACCATAGGCTCCTCTTGTTTTAGTATCACTGGTTTCCCTTGGATTGCTCCCCAAGGGGGTGGGCAGCTGAATGTTGTGATTCACACTGTATTGAGTGCATCTTCTGCCAGGAACCGATGCAGTTGGGAAAAAGGGGGTCGCTGCTCAGGCTCCCTGCTCCAGCACTGAAGCATCAGCTCATACAGGCCCTGTGGGCAGGCAGGTGGCCGGAACAGGTACACCTGTATTGTGGCAACATGGATGAGAGGCAGGGAAGAGGTTCTTCAAGTCTCCAAGATGACATGCTTTGCCCTTCCCAGTCCTCCCCACCCCCACTGCAATCCATCTCCCCTCCCTCTGCTCTGACCTGTCGTCCCTGGTCCCGGAAGAACTCCCCAGCATTCTCGATGACTTGCTCGTCGGTGAGCTGCCCAAAGGGTTGGGCCCTACAGAGCATCAGCACCTCCCACAGAGTCACCCCAAAGGCCCACACGTCACTGGCTGTTGTGAACTTCCCCTGGCACAAGGAAAGGGCGACAAAGGCAGAGAAGGGCACCAGGCAGCTTAGCTGTGCAGAAGCCCAAATCCACCCAGCCTGACTCCTCCCAGCCTCAGGCTCTATTCTCCTCAGCTGGTCCCTTTCCCAACAAACTGGTCCTCTCTCTCTAGAGTTCTGCTTCTTCTCCCATGCTTTGGTTCTCTCTTCCTTCTACTTATCCTTTGTCTCCATCTGTCCCCCTGACCCTGAATCTTCCCCCAGGTCCTTCTGACTCTAGTAAAAATATGGCTCAGAATTCCGGGCCTGAGTGAGCTCCCCCAAGACCTCCTGCAGAGCATCCCTCCTGAGTAGACAAGGTTCCTGAGTTCCTATATTCTTATCTCTTATCTCTCTGCTACTCTGACTATCCTCTGTATCCACTGCTCTTGGTGCCTGAACCCATCATACTGCTGTTCCTCATTTCTCCAGTCCCTTGAGCCAGAGAGACCCTCATTTTATGGATGAGGAGACTAAAGCCCAGAGAAGCCAAGTGACTAAAGGAGCCACAGAACTGAGAATGGCAGCTGGTTTCCTCCACCACCACCCTACCTCTCTTCAGGTTGCTTACCATGAGGATGCATTCCCAGGCCATCCACCGGATGGGCAGTACTGCCCGGCCCTGCACACGATAATAATCCCCAGCATAGAGGTTTCGGCTCATGCCAAAGTCAGCAATTTTGATGGTGAAATTTTCCCCAACCAGGCAATTCCGTGTGGCCAGGTCTCGATGTACAAAGTTGAGTGTGGCCAAATAACGCATGCCTGAGGCGATCTGGGCTGCCACATGCAAGAGCATCGGGTAGCTGAGCAAGGAAGGCAATTATTGGGAGTCACTGGGAGTCATCCCCAGACTCCTCCCTTCTTCAAACATCCCTGTCCAGGAGAGGAAGGGAGCCTAGCCCCAGGACCACGTCACTTCTGCTCCCAGGGAGGAGAGGGAATACCCATGTGTAGGCCAGTGCAGGCTCCCACTCAACCTCTCTAGCTCATCCAACCCTGGGGAGCTTGTGTTTTGTTAGGCTCTGCCATCTGGACTCAGGAGTGATAAGGCTGAGGGAGGGCAGAAAGGAATTCATAGCAGCGTCTAAGTCCCTTCACCACACTCAGTAATCTCCAGCCTTTCTGGCCAAGTTTCTGGATTACTATGGTCCCAGTTCCTCCTGAAATCTCTATCTGCCTCTCTTCCCCCATGCTCCTCTCTTTCCCTCAAGACTGAAGTTGAAAAGAGGAGGAGAACTGCCTGGGAGTTCTCAAGGAAGTCCTTGCCTGGGTACATGGGTACCTGATGGTGGGCCCCTGGGCAGCCTCCCCATCCCTGGAGGCCCCTTCGGCTGCCTTGTCTTCCAGCTGATGGGCACTGAGAAACTGGTTCAGGTCTCCATTCTCCATGTAATCAGTAATCATGCACAGGGGGTCATCCTGCACACACACACCCAGGAGCCGGATGATGTTTGGGTCCTTGAGTCGTGACATGATCTTCACTTCCTTCAAGAAATCATTCCTGGGGAAGCAGGAAGAAGGTGGAGGGAGCACCAAGGGGTGGCCTGCACCTTCCCTCCTGCTCATAAGGAAAAGTTGCCTCCACCCTCAGCACACAAGCAAACCTCCCACCCCAGACACCAGTCCTCTCTTGGTCCATACCATAGTTCTCTCTACATTGCTCCCTACTTTTCTGGGCCTCCCTTCCCTTCTTCCAGATACTATTCCTGATATTCACCTGGCATTCTTGGTAGCATCTGGCCGTAGGATCTTGACAGCTACCAGCAAGGGTTGTCCCTTGTGTACATTGACGGGGAAGTCAAGACTGACCAGATCTTGAGGGTTCTCTACCTCACACAGGTGCACCTAGAGAAAGAAGGTCATTTCCTAGAAGGTCACAAAATCAAATGGAGTAACATTGCACAGATGGTAAGGTTTTTGGCCAAGCAGGCATGACATCAAAGCCCCCAGTCAGGGCAGACAYTATTGATGGCCAGGCAGGCATCCTCCTTACCTCCCCAAACTGGCCCTCGCCAAGCTTCTCCTTGAAGCGGAGCCGTGACCGAGGGAAATCCACTCTGGGGGGCCCATCCCCAACCGCCCCTGGGGGCAGTGCAGGCACAGCATAGGTGTTGCCCCCGGTGACGCCCTGCAGGGTAACAATGTCAGCCTCGGCATAATGGGGGACGCTGTTCTGGGGAGGTGGGGGCAGAAGCGGGGCACCTGGCTTCTCAGGCTCCATATAATCCCCATTGCAGGCTGGAGGGGTGAGGAGAAAGAAAACGGGACAAGGCATCAGGATCAACCCCTAAGAGCCACAGTTCACACCCCAGCCTCCCCAAGGCCCTCCATGTCTTCCATTTGGGTGAGAGACTGAATCCACCCTGTATCTCCCCAGTATTCCAACCACCAACCTCAAACCAAAGAAAGCACTGGGGTGAGATAAGAATTAACTACTCTAGGGGATTTTTCAAGACAATGAAAATGGTTGATCAAAAACTATTATAAAATCTTACTGTCTAGGGATCTCCCAGCATAGCCTAAGAGACCATGAGATGAGTCTTGGATGGAAGAGGAATTCATCTACCCACCATCAAAGAAGGAGGGTTCAGCCATCCAGTCTCCTTCACTCTCCAAACCCTTGTCCCACTCACCACCAACTTCCTCTTGTTCACTTATCTGTTCTCCCACTTCTCATAGCCTGACTTTTCCCTGCCATGGTTACCCAAACTCCCCAACCCAACACACCAAGCTCAAAGACAGGCAGAGACAGGGGCACACAGAGAGGGAAAAGGGCAACGGTTCCTTACAGCCCCCAAAACAATTGTCTACAGACAGGGAGGGAAGCAGAGCTATCCCCTCTTGGTGCTGGGGAAGGGACCACAATGAGAAGGCAACACGGAGGAGGGGAGGAGAGACAGGAAGGGTGGAGTGTGAGCCTTCACCTCTGGGACTKCGAAGAGAGGACACATGGGGGAAGAGGGCAAGTGCCCAGGGTGAGAGGCCCTCCTTGCAGCTCTAGAGAAAGGGGAGAATAAAGGTGTTACAAGAGAACCTGGGGTGCCACAGCAACCTCCTCTCCAGCTCTGGAGAGCTGTAGAGACAGGGTATGAGAGGAGGAAGGGACAGAGCCAAGACCGATAGGAYTACACCTCGGCTAGAGGGGGAGGCCTTCAAAAGGAGCAAGAAGCAATAGTGGTGAGTGAAGGGCACAAGAGCTCTGCCAGGGAGCTCAGGAGAGCAGAAGAGGCCACAGTGGGGAGGAGAGGGAGTGCAAGGTGTGAGGGCTTCTCCCTGCCCCAGTGGAGGTATGGGGAGCCTGCTGGAGCCCAGGGGCAGAGGGGCTTACCCTGGGTGTTGGTGGGTTTGGCCCAGGCGGGTGTGGGGGGGCCCGGGCCTCGAGGGGGACGGGCGTAAGTGGCCAGAAGGAGGCGGTAGGCTGGATTGGAGAGCAGCAGCGCTGTCGGGAGAAGGAGGGGGGAGACACGGGGAAGGGATGAGACTCAAGGCTAGACAGACAGGGAGACCTGGAATAGGGCAAGACCAGGGTGATGGGATTGAATGTACTAAGAGAGGATAAAACAAGGACCTGGAGAGTGGTGGAGAGCTGGTAGATTGGTGATTGACGGACAATAGATGGGGATGATAAACAGACGATTTGATGGATATATAAATATAGATAAATGGATGGATGGTAGTATGAATGTATAGATAGATGGAAGGAAGGATTAAACATGGTGAGTCTAGGAAAAAGAAGAGAGGGGTCAGGGAGACACAATAGAAAGTAACAGAGAATATAGAGAAATGTATGTATGATACAGAGACAGAATGAGACCACTGGGGATTATGGATAATAGATGGGAAATCCTTCAGGAAGATTATATGGTCGAGACATGGAGTGATGAAGAAGGTGAACAGAGGCACAGAAATAAGAAAATAAATTGAAACTAGGGAAGACAGGAAAAGAAAAAATAGGAGAGAGAGAAAGAGGGATACAATAAGAAGACAGGCAGAGAGGATGGAGGTAGGACTGGAACAAAGAAGGCCTTACCAGAGCCACCGGGGACACAGGGAGCAGAGTGGGGTGGATTCCCACGAGGCCGGGGCTCCTGGTAAGGGGGTGGTTCTCGGGGACCTGGGCGATTGTTGATGAGGATGGTGTCCCCAGGAACAGAGAGATGAACTGTCAGCTCCTCTTCCAATACCCGTCGCTCAGCCTTGTTAGAGGAGTGGGCAATGTTAAGTGTTGCCCCTGCRTAGCACACATTTCCTGGCACCTTGTAAGTGCTGTTCCTATGTTCTCCTCTTTAATCTTCACAATAGTCCTACAGTTGTAGCTCCTACATATGCCCAATTTCACAGGTAAAGAAACTAAAGCTCAAGAGCATTTAAGTAACTTCCCATATTTATCAACCTTAATGTGTACCAGCACCTTGGACTTTCCCAAGAAGACAAGGACTTGGGAGAATCCAAGCATCTTCCATTTGCCCCTCTCACTCTACTCTCCATCTTTTCCCACCACTCCTGCCCCAACAGAATGACCAGTGTGGACTGCCACTAGCTGGTTAAGGTTGGTAAGAGAAGAACCCCAACCAGAGACTGAAGGGAGAAAATGATGTCAGGGGATTTACTCTCCCATCCTCTCCCTCGGGACTGGACTGCCAAAGCCTGTATCCCTGTTCTAAAGTCCACCCCTCAGCTCAAGACACCCTCTCCAGACTCACTCCTCCCAGGGATTCGATACTGCAGCTTCCTCTCGCCCTAGCAGGACCACAGGAATGGGAAAGTGACCCGCTCCTTATAATGCCCTGCATCCAACTCACACCTTTGAAAGTGGTCTCTAGTTACACTATTAGACTTTGCCCTGCCAGCCCTGCTGGACCGTGATATGCCTGTGCCTGGACAGTGAGGGGCTCTATGGGAGCAACTTCTCCACCCTCATCCCACCAGCACCACCCACCTTGCTGAGGAGCCTGCGCCAGTGCAGCCGCCAGAGCATGAGGGCAATGATAAGCAGCAGCAGCAGGATGATCGCCACCAGGCAGCCTATGAGAATGGCAGTCGGGCTTCCCTCTGCCTTGGCCACAGGCTGCTGGCCCCGGGGCTCCAGCTCTGGCAGAGGCAAAAGGGTCAGCACCCAGAAGGGAGGCCCAGGGAGGAAGGTTGGGCAGGGTCCACATCCCTGGGAGGGGGCCCCACGTAAGAGCCTACTCACCCAAGCTACTGAAGTTGGTGGGAGGTGGGCCAGGAGGCCACCAGGGGGCTGGTGCAAAGGTGCCCCCCAGAACCTGAGAGGAGTCATTTACCACATCTGGGGGAAAGGAAGAGAAGAGGCAATTAGAAGGGGAGGAGGAAGGGACCCCCTAGAGGTATGTATGCGTGAAACCTAGGGAATTGAATAGAAGCAGGGGTGACAATATAGGCCACCATTGGTCAGTCAGAACACCAATCAATCAGAGAACATGGTGGAACAGAGCCCCTGGCTATGGCAGATGTTAACCCCTTAGTCACTGAATGGTGAGGAAATGGAGGGCTTCCCGCCAAGTGGATGGTGATGGGTATCAGGAGGTTTAGAAAAGAGTGGACTCAACTAATACAGAAGTATTTCAGTACTGTCCAAAGGACTGAATCAGGTTCAGTCATGAGTGAAAGGGTCATAAAGAAAAGACAAACAGATACAGGGAACAAGGGAAAAAGAGATGCCAATTATTTCCACCCCAGTAGAGAAGTTTCATGGGTGTTGAGACAATATAACGCCAAGAATGGATATTCTGGGGGTACTACAGGGTTAAGAATTAAGTCAGCTCGCAATCCCAGGGGCTGGGGATTGGGCATACTCCAGGGACTTACCAGAGATGAAGGAAATTTCACTGAAGAGTAACCAGGGCCCCGCAAAGAGGAAGCGGCACTGCAGAAAGCGACCCACTCGGCCACCTAGGGGCACTGAGATAGCCCGGGCTCTGGGGTCCCCTAGGCTGCCTCCCAGGGCATGGCGCATGGGCTCCCCTTCCCAGGCCATGGCAGGGCCCCGCTTGAAGCGACACTCCACCCCACCTGGCAGGCGGGCTCCCAGTGTGTGCATGTTGTTACAGTGTACCTGGGAAGAAGGGAGAGGGACACAGGGTCAGAGCCGGAGAGCCCTGAGGGTACCAGAGCAGCACCYACCCTGGCTTCAGAGCCTTCCCAGAGAGGCAGACTCACTTACCTGCATGGCCTGGAAGGCCCTCAACTGCTCAAACTCAAACTCCATCTCCACATAGCCACTGGGGAAGCTATGGTTACTCCATCCCACATAATCATAGCCTGGCCAAACTCGAAGTTCCTGGCTCTGCCTAAAGTCATCCAGCCCTACCACACCATCTGCCAGCTGGCCCAGACCACCATACTGCAGCCTGGAGAAGAGGGGAACAAAAAGGGGAGGTTGGAAGGGAAGAGGGTGTCAACTACCCAGGTGCTTTACACACCCACCCCAGTGGCCTGGGCGGCCTGGCTCCCATCCATTCATCCCATTCCCACACCACCAAACTTCTTGCAGCTCTCTCCTCTAACAACCCACCACACCAGGCCATCACAGATACTTTGCAGATGACACACTGCACAAAGGCACCCTCTGAGGTACACTATTCAATCACTATTATGATAATTTCCATAATAAGATGATCTTAGCCAAAGGGTGCCTTTTTCTAATTTTTACTGACTTATGGGCTAATAATCATCTTGCTACCATTTATTCCATCCCACCTAACAGATCTCTCTCCCCAGTTCTTCCATTTTACTGCCCAGACTACTTACCAAAACCCCACACACACTCTGGCCTCCCACCCACCCCAGGCTCCACATCCTGCAGGGCCCATTCCTCTCACCCGCCAACAGTATATCCATCATAGGTGGAGTCGTTGAGGTGCACGGCTTCAGATAAGTACATCGTTTGCCCCACAGGGGCTGTGTAAGACAGAAGTCCATCTGGGACAGGTGGGAGGAGGGGTATTAGAGGCACAAAGCCTCCATTCCCTACCCCTGCATCAGGCTTGGGAGATTTCAGTCCCTTTTTTGTATCCCTCCACTGGCCCACTATCATGGAGGAGGCAATGTTGACCAGTCCCCTCCACATCCAGAGGGACAGCTTCCCAATAGGAGAAAGGATCCTGGGTGCCTTTCTTTACACTCCCCACCCTCAGTCCCCAGAACTGAAAATGGATTATTTGGGGGCTGACCTACTCACCCCTCCAGAGGCAGCCATAGAGCTCCACTCGCAGACAGACACTCATAACACGGTCAGCCCGGGGGTAGAAGCGAACCAGGCGGGCCACCATGGGGGGCCCAAGGTCCTTCAGCACCACTCCCCCAGGGTCCTCATTACCTGAGATCACCTGTGGGCCAGGAAATGGGGAGGATGGGTAGGAAGGGCCCCGAATCAAATCTAACTTCCCAGCTAATCTGCTGCTCCCTGGACCAGCCCACAGTGGCCACTGAAAAAACCATGAAGGGTGATACTGAGTGCACAGTACTGTGGGGTGCAGCCAGGCATTTGTAAATATGGGTCTGCAGCAGAGATCTCTGACATCATGGCCCTGGTGGTCTGACCTCCAACTCCATTCTCAGCCCCCTCTCCTTGCCTGGCTCCATTTGTCTCCAAGTACTCATGCTATTATTTCCAGATCCTAACCAATCCCTCAGAGCCCTGCACCCCACCTCAGCTTCCCCCTCTTGCTTCATCCCATTCCTTCTGTTCATTCAGCCAAAACTGGCTGAGTGCCAACTCTGTGACACTCATATCGTCAGTGGTAAACATCAGTCCTTCCCTCCACAGAACTGAGATTTACAGTAGGAGAAATAGCTATGAGGAACAAAAGACAGTATGTGGGGACAGAACAGTGAGGCAGGTGGTCAGCCAAGGCTCTCGAGGTAACATCTCAGAAAATGGAGCAAGGGGGAGTCTGTGGGTATCTGGGGGAGGAGCTTGCCTGGCCCAGAGAACAGTAAGTAAAAATGTCCTGTCATGTGGGAATGAGCCCTGGCTTGTTCCAGGAAGAGCAAGCAAAGCAGTGAGGCCAAGGAAGAGCAAAGCATAGGCACAGAGAGAGAGAGGTCAGGCTAAAGTCAGTGCCCACTCAAGATTAGTTTTTGTTCTGGCAGAGCGGAATACCAGTGGCAGGCCGAGAGCTGGGATGATATGTCTGATTTACATTTTTTTAAGTTCTGCTATATGTAGCATGGAGGTGGAGATTTCACTTCAGGAAGAAAGGGGCAGCAAAGCAGGCAGAACAGTTTGGAGACTGCTGCATTCATCTAGCTGTCAGGGGTGGCATTTGGCCTAGATCAGTAGAGTCGGGAGAAGTGGTGGGATTCAAGAAATGCCAATGGAGGTAGAGCAGGCAGGCCCTGCTGATGCTTTGGAAGAAGGAGGTAAGAGGAAGAGAAATAGGGAATATCATCTTAGCTCATGGTCTGGGCAACTCAGCAATTTTGTGATCTGAGAAAGCCGGGGAAGAACAAGTTGTCTTTTTTTCTTTTCCTTTTCTTTTTTGGTGGTACCAGGGATTGAACCCAGGGCCTTGTGCGTGTTAGGCAAGTGTTCTACCACTGAGCTATATCTCCAGCGAAAGGACAGGTTTAAGGTGGGAGTTCCACCTGGGAAGTAAATGATAAGTATGAGATGCTCAAACACCGACTTGGCAAGGTCCAGGATGTCCTCAGTTTGCAATACTGAGTAATGCTCAAGGGAGAAGCTGGCACTGAAGATGCTATAACTGGAGCATCATCAGTGTTCAGGTGCTATTTAAGTGTCACTGGAGGAGAGAGGAGTCAGCCTCCCTTGGGCACTGCCCCAACCAGCCTCACCTCCTGACCCCAGCGATCCTTCCAGTCCATCCAGCGGTGGCCGTCCCGGGAGTAACGCAGCCGGTAGCTGCGGGAGAACTCTTTGCCCAGGCCCCCAGCATGGCGTCCCTGGGTGCCCACCAGAGCCACGAGGTGTAGCCGCCGTAGATCCACCTGTAGATACTCCTCCTCCTTGGGAAACACTGGCCCCGCAGGACACCATGCCCCATCCCCATCACTGCTCTCCAGCCTGGGAAGGGGAAGGAGGTCACAGGGAACATATGGCAGTAGGTCTGAATCTGTCTCTAATATTTACAACCTGCTCCCACTGGACTGCTGGGATTTCAATGGTAATGAACCTCTCAAAAGCCTCTTAGCTTGGTCAGATGGTCTGTAAGGGCAAATAAAGATCCCAGAGCAGCCCCAAATGTGCCAGATACCTGCTGTGGCGAGCAGCAGTGGAGTCTGACCAGGAGCTGGAGACAGAGATGTCACTGTCTGGAATGGTGCGGTCTTGCATGCCCAGGGCGTAGCGGCACTTGGCTGGATGAACAGAGCATGTGATGGGTCAAGGCCTTCAACTCCTTACTCCCCACCCCAAGCCCTGCCCGTCAGGGACCCAAGATTCATTCTTCTCACCAGGGTCAAAATGTCCCTTCATGTCAGCATCTCCAGTTGCTACCAAGAGCAGTAGCAGCAGCAGTAGAGATGAGAGGACCTCTGGCCCCATAGCTCCTGATCCCTCAGGCCTAAGGGGGTGGGGGCAGCATCTCTGCAGGGGACAAAATGGATAGGAGGGTAAGTTAATAAGGGGGACTGAGTCACACCAACAGCAAAGACAGGGTGGCTGTCTTGGGGATAAGAGCAGTAAAATGACAAGAATGGTCATTGTTGAATAGCACTGGCTCTATTTTTAGAATGCCTCCCATGTCCCAGACACTGGGCTAAACCTTTAAACAGAATCCATAATTTTATCTTCGGTCACTTTAAAAGGTAGATTCTGTTACTATCCATATTTAACACATGAAGAAAGTAGTCTAGAGATCCATTAAATAATATGCCTAGAGCCCCATCCCCCCTATAGAAAAAGGACAAAATACCCCATTTACAATGGCTTCGAACAAACAACAAATTTTCAAAAACATGTAGACAACATGTAGAACAGAAAAATGGTTAMAGTTACAATAAACAAAGGACCCTTACAAATCAACAAGAAAAAAGTATATAAATAATACAATAGAGAAGTTGCCAAAAGAATTTGAATAGTCATTTCATAGAAGAGCAAAAAGTCCAGTTGCCAACAAACATTTGTATTTTGTTGTTTTATTTTGGKTTTTTTTGGTACTAGGGATTGAATTCAGGGGTATTTAACCACTGTGCCACAGCCACAGCACTTTTTACTTTTAATTTTCAGACAAGGCCTCACTAAGTTGCTTAGGGCCTCTTTAAGTTCCTGAGACTTACCCTGAACTTGCAATCCTCCTGCCTCAGCCTCCTGAGTCACTGGAATGACAGGAGTGTGCCACCAAACCCAGCCAAACATTTATCTTTAAACAGTGAAAATCACTATAGAGTCAGGGAAATATAAATCAGATATAGGGTCTGGCTATGTTGCCCAGACTGGTCTCCAACTCCTGGGCTCAAGTAATACTTTTGCCTTAACCTCCAGGAAAAGGACTATAGTAGCACACCACTGTACCTAGCTTAACAAGATATTCTCTAAGGTTTTAATATTTATAGGTAGTGAGAGTGGTGAAAAGGGAGCCACCATGCTAGACAGTAGGAATTTAACATCATCATCTACTACTAGAAAACAATCTAGTGGTATCGTTATATTTAAAAATTCACTTCCCCTGAAATCCCAAGTTCCCCTCCTGAGGATCTAATAAAAAGGATGGGAGAAGTCTCAGAAGAATGGTTTTACAAAGATGGCATCTTTGTAAGGACCCAAATTTGTAAGCCATGTAAATGCCTACAGGGGACCAGATGAGAAAAATAAATAAGGTTCAGTGGGCTTCTGTGCAGCTATGAAAAGTAACAAAGAAGCAATAAATTTCTGACTTGGTATGATTTCCTTGTGCCATGGTTGAAAATGAAAAGCAAGATACAGAAGTATAAAGAGTTATCCTTAGGGCTGGGGATGTGGCTCAAGCGGTAGCGCGCTCGCCTGGCATGCGTGCGGCCCGGGTTCAATCCTCAGCACCACATACCAACAAAGATGTTGTGTCCGCCGAGAACTAAAAAATAAATATTAAAAATTCTCTCTCTCTCTCTCTCTCCTCTCTCACTCTCTCTTTAAAAAAAAAAAAAGGGTTATCCTACTTTCTGTAAGCAAAGAATAAACGAACTCCTGTGTTTGTACACATGTGTATGTGTAGAGAGGATACGCAACAGAACGTGAGTTAACATGAATAGGCCAAGAGTTGGGAAAGCAAACAAAAAGGGAAAAAAGATATGCTAATGATACTATTTTACTAAAACAATACTTATACATGTGTGTAAAGTCATGTGATATGTATAAAAGAATATAAAATCATTTTGAGCCAGGTACCATGGCACATGTCTATAATCCCACCTACTTGGAAGGTTGAGGTGGGAGGACCTTGAGTTTGAGGCCAGCATAGGCCAACTTAGCAAGAACACAACCTAACTCAAAGTAAAATAAAACAAAACAAAATAAAAATTATTTTAATTTCCAAAAAGCAAAGATACATCTTTTTGATAGTGTATGCCTATAATCTCAGTGGCTCAGAAGACTAAGACAGGAGGATTGCAAGTTCAAGCCAGCCTCAGCAACACAGTGAGGCCCTGGGCAACTTAGCAAGACCTTGTTTCAAAATAAAAAATAAAAAAGGTGGTTAAGCACTCCTGGGTTCAATCCTTGGCACAAAAATAAATAAATAAAAGCAAAGACGCTCTAGGAAAGGTTGAGCAACACCTTGTTAAGGATACAATAAAATTAGACATCAGATAAGCCTGGACCTGCTGACCTTGGGCCCCTCCAACCTTGAAGCCCAGAACCTAAGAGAAGTGCAGGATCCCAGCACCTTCCAATCCCATTGTCCCCTGCAGCCCTCAAAGCCCAGTGTGGACCCTAGACTAGCAGCCTCAGCATCTTCTGGGAACTTTGGAGAAAAGCAGACCCTCAGGCCCCAGAGACTTTCTGCATTTTAACACCATCCCCAAGTTATCTGTGCCCCCTAAAGTTTCAAAGTCTCGACTTTGTTCCCCTGGAACCCAGGCAGCTTACCCTATCTCAAACCATTCCAACTGGCATCTCCTTACACACCCAGGTATCCACTGTCCCCCACCCAGGCTTCAAGAAAAGCTATCTTAACCTATGGCTTGCCAGAGCTCTGCACATCATTCCAGGCCCTGGAATCTTGAAGGACCCTATTGACACCTCTCACACCCTACCCCACCCCCACCATCAGGTCCAAAGCATCTTGCCCCCAGCTTTCCTTGCTGGGCCTGACATTCCATCCCCTCCAGTTCCCACTTTCTAAAGGTAGCTGCTTCTGAAGGAAGAGCCCAGGGCTGAGGAAAAAGCTGAGTTGCCTTGGCAATGAGGGCGGGTCTAATGACAGGGAAGTCAGGTCACCCCAGGAGGTAAGAGGAGTGGGGGGGATAGTCCCCCATCCCTTTGTCCTCCTCCAGCTGCTCCCACAATGCTCGAGGGTAGGAATGTAAGAGGCAGCTGAGACCCCATAGCCATGAAGCAGCAGCTGAAGGGGATGACTGTGGGGGGTCACTTGGTTATCAAAGGAGAACCTGGAACCAAAAGGCACCATGAGTAGTCCCTTGGGAGTCCAGCACCCCGGTGCAGGGGAGCCATCTGCCAGAATCCCAGGATACTGGCTGGGAATTTCTGGGTGCTGCTCTCCACCCCCACCTCTCTGGGAACAGCGGAGCCCTTGTTCCCCAGAGTAACCTTCATGCCTATCCCAGATGAGTCATCAGAGTCAGACAGAACAGAGAAGAGCCTGGGGCAGAGATACAAAGACTGGCAGAGGACAGGAGACAGGGGGAGACAGAGCAGAGACACAAAGCAAGAGGTAAATGGAACAGGCTCAGAGTCTCAGGGCACAGGGCCAAGCAGAGAAACAAGGAGAAACAGCAAGGTCTGGGGCAATCTGTCCTCCAACACCACAAATCTCTATCCATTGGGTCTGGCTTGACCCCACAGTCAGACACCCAAAGTCCAGACCCAGAAGACCCACACTGCTATCCCCTTTACAACCAATTACAAGCCAGGAGCCAGGATACCCTACCTCAGGGCCTTCATTCTTCTCTCCCAAACCCTGCCTCCCACCCCAATATCTATCTCTCTCTCTCTCTCTCTCTCTCTCTCTCTC